ATCCTTTAAGGATTTTTCACCAAAACTCCATTTTTATGGAGCACACTTTGGTTTCAATTTTCCATTCACTCGATAATGGTTTTGAGCAACCAAATATACCACGTAAATTACAACGCAGCATAGAACACGTTACCACTTTGACCTGCGAAAATCGACGCTCGGGTCCCACCTAAAAAATAGACCAAATTTAGGAAAAAATTCTGGTTTTACCTAGAATTTTCCCAACCATTTCTAACAAAATCTACCAAGGCATCAATATTTCAAAGACTTGATAAAATATACCTCAAAATTTTTTTTTTTTTCATTTTAGTTTTTGAGTAGTGTGAATCACGCATTTAATTAAAAAAGTTATATACTTTTTTTTTTTTTTTTTTTGGCAAAAAAAGAAACTTTATTGATGTAAGATTAAGTACAAAGTACAAAACAAAGTACATCAATGAAGAAAAGGAAAGTGCAAAAGCATCACAATGAGCTAAATCATCCCAATAAGGTTGGCACCAAAAAGCCCATTTTGGTATTTGCTAGCACTCCCAGAGTTAGTGAGAAACCAACGAGAAAACAGACCAAAAACCCCTGTTGAGCAAGCAAACTCAGGCATCATACCACTACTGCTGCTAGCTGAGTAACCAAAGCAAGCATTCCAATAGTAGAGCACTAACAGAACTTAGCAGACACCATATCAAACATAACAAAAAAAATACCAACAAAACAGACCACTAGCAGAGCTTAGCAGACCAACATATCAGACCACTACCTAAGCATATCAGTCCAGCATCAACCATGCAGCCTGACTCAGACACTATACCAATCACCAATAGCAGAGCAGTAGCAGAGCTTAGCAAACACCATATCAAACAGAACAAAAAAAGACTCACATAACAGACCATTAGCAGAGCTTAGTAGACCAACAAATCAGACCATTACCTAAGCATCAGTCTAACATCAACCAACAAGATTTGCAGCCTGAGCATAGCTGAGCAGCCAAGAAGCAAAACACCCAAAAAACAACAGCAAACATCTAGCAGCAACCATGCCATCGCCAATGCTGACTTAGACACCATATCAGACCACTAAAAAATAGACCAACACCCAAACTTAGCCTGACTCAGACATCAATAGCAGAGCACTAGCAGGGCTTAGCAGACACCATATCAAACAGAACAAAAATAGACTAACATATCAGACCACTAGACCATCACAGAGCACACCTTCATAACAGACAACAGAGTACACCATAGACCATCACAGTACCAACCATGCTCAGTCCACCCTCAGCCATCTACATAGCTTCTAGTGAACACTGCTCCCATATGAAGAATTCAACCAATTAAACAAAACTGACATATGTATAGCTCAACTCCCATTCCTAATGCAATATTGAACCAACAGCAACATATAGCATCAGACTTGATTGCTTGTAGAAGGAAAAAAAGATGGTGATAATAGTAATGTATAGCATTATTTGCCTCAACAATACAGCAGCATCATCTCCTCTAAACCAGCATTATCAACAACAATACAGCAGCATTATCTCCTCTAAACCAGCACCAAACCATATAGCAGTGCACCAAAACATACAGCAGTAGGATACCAAAAACCAGAAAAAGAACAAAGAAAATAGAACAACAGCCAGAACATCAAATTAGCAGCAGTGCACCAAGACAACAACATCAATTTCCCTGTGTCATACTTTCTACAAACAGTAGCAGACTTGCTTCAGATTAAAGATAACATCTTGCACTGAGTACTTAAACTCTTTCAAAAAATAAGAAGCCCATATAGCAACTCTAACCTTTACCAACTCATCCAAATCTGGTTGTGTCTCATTAAATAAGCACTCATTCTTAATTTTCCACACTGACCACATAACTGCTAATGGGATTGTTTTCCAGATCTCCTTCACCTTTTTCTTCATGTTTGTACCTGACCACCAATGTAATAATTCCTCCACTGAACCAGGAATAACCCAGCTCAAGTTCCACCAATGCACAATATTAGCCCATATTCTCCAGACCATAGGACAGTGAAGTAGAACATGGTTCAAAGACTCCACATCAGATTTACAAAACACACATAGAATATTGACATTTGAACTCAACACACCAATCCTTTGCAAAAACTCTAAGGATTTGATCCTACCTTTCCAAGCTAACCAACTCAAAAATTGTACTTTGGAAGGAGCTAAATTATTCCAAATACTTTTAATAACAGCAATAGCTAGCCCTTTACATGCTTCCACCCACTTCCAGATTGATGCCACAGTAAAAACTCTAGAGTGAGCTAGCCAAGAGCAAGAGTCTTCAACCGCTTCATTTAGCCTAGGTGCATTCTACAACAAATCATTAAGTTTCAGCACCTTCTCTTCTTCTCAAGCAAAAAGAGGCCTTCTAAAGTCAAGATTCCAGTCACTATCCACTCCCCTTCTATGGAAAAAGTCAAACAAAATGCCATCTTTTTCAACTGACAAAGTGAACAATCTGGGGAATTCCATACTCAGACTTTGATTGTTAAACCACATGTCAACCCAAAATTGTAATCTTCTGCCATTACAAACAACTAACTTGAAATTTTGCAAAAAGAAATCACGCAAGGCAGGATTTGCTGAAGCCACTGATAATATGTCCTGTCAGAGATTAGACATCAACACTGAATTTATTACTAGTGGGTTCCATCTGCTACCCAAACCTTCATACTTACTACAAACCTCTTGTTTCCACAAAGCTAACGCCTTTTTGCCATACCTCCACCACCAGTTAATTAATAGGCACTCACTAACACCTAACCCACCTTGAATTCTGCTTAGACAAACCTCTTTCTAACTGACTAAGTGCACTTTTTTTCCTAATTTCAGATCCTTCCCATAGAAAATTGGCTTGAATTCTGTCTAAAGATTTTGCAATACCCATTGGCAGCTTGAAGATGGATAGGAAATAGATTGGCAAGCTTGACAAAACGGACTTTATCAGAGTTAATCTTCCTGCAAAAGACAAATACCTCCTCTTCCATGAAGCTAACTTGCTCTTGAACTAATCCACCACTAGTTTCCATGTACTCATCCTCCTTGGATTTGCTTCTAATGGTAGCCCCAAATAGTTCATTGGCAACTTTTGGCTAAGGCAGTTAAGTTTTGTTGCAAAAACCTTCACTAAATCATCCTAAACACCTACCACACACATTGTACTTTTATGAAAATTTATTTTGAGACTTGACATCAACTTGAAGCATCTTAATATTCTTTTCACAGCAACAATTTCCTTCCAATCAACTTTATAAAATATAATAGTATTATCAACAAACTGCAAGTGCGATAGTATCAATTCATTTGGCCCAACTTTTACTCCTCTAAGCCCTCTTGTTTTGCTCTTTTCATAAGAATATTGAGGCCCTCAGCTACAATATTAAAGAGGAAAGCTTAAACATATATATATATATATATATATATATATATATTTCAAAAAGTACTCAAAAATTAAAATAAATCTGAAAGCTTAACCACCTTGGTTATGTTGTAGTGAACATGGAACTGTATTTAAATAGTGTATGGTTGAGAGAGAGAGAAAGATTAACAACCTCGGCTTCACATGGGTTGATACCCTATGGAAGAGGTAACCACCAATACAAAATATATAGAAACTATAAATATTTTAAGAGACTTACCTACCTCTCAATTAAAACCAAGTCGTAAGCAAACGAAAAAAGATAAAAAATAAATAAAATGGCGGCTATAATAAAATGTAACATATTATATATTCCATTAGCCCATTAATTAAGATCTAGGGGGCCAAACTTGACAATACATAGTGTGATCCAACACCCTTCATTCCATATGGATTGAACAACCGATTTTTTTTAAAATTTAATTTTTTTTTTTTTTGGGCTAACAATAAACTTTTCTAAAGTATCCAATTGGTAGTAGGATTGTCTAGTTGCCCAACTGTGGGTTTATTTCAAACCTATTTTGGTGATTCAAATAGTTAATCTTCTTGATTTTATCAAGATGATCATCTATTTAATATTTTAAGTTAATTAAATATCGATAATTATATATTTAAATCATATTTATCTCTTTAAAAAAGACGATAGAAATTTTGGAAATAGATCATCTATTTTTTCATATCTAACCTATATAATTTTTTAATCATCTCAACATAACATATATAATAATTAATTTAAATTATTAAAATAAGTTTGAGCGAAGCCCACAATAATAAAAGTGAATGGTCCAGTCAATAAAACCGACTGAAGAGAAACTAACCCTTCTGAAGTCTTAAAAAAAGCTGAAACTCACACAATCACCGGAGTCCCATTTTTTTTAAGAACAACCAACCGATTATTGGATGTGATTTGCGTTTGGAGTCCGCCAATCAAGCAAAGAGTGCAATTAACAAGCCTCCAACACCCATGTGCCTCAAGCCCGAATATAATCAGCACAAAGAAATTCTACCCATGTTGTATTGTAACCCCCATGGGTCACAATTTTATTAGTCCCTTCACTTTTATATATATACTTTCAAACAATTCTAATGCAAAATTTCCAACACAATTTTATTAGTCCCTTCACTTTCATATATATACTTTCAAACAATTCTAATGCAAAATTTCCAACACTTACCTGCTTCATGAATTTTGAAAGAGATTTGAAAAAAAAAAAAAAGATATGTGAAAAAAAAAAGTAGGTTAGAGAATTTGATGAAGGAAATGGAAAAGAAAAATGAAATAGAAAGAGAAGGAAAAAGAATTAATATGATTCAAATTTCAAGTAATGTTTGGTTGATGTGCAAAATAGAGAAATAAAAGAATTTAAGTGAACTCAAAACATAAAAAGTGATATTATATTTCCTTCTTACTTCTTTTTTTTTTTTTTTTTTTTTTTTTCTATTATAACTAAACAAAAAAGTCAAATTACACTGCATTTTTTCTTTTTATTTATCTTGTCAAATCTTCCCATCAAATATAGGCTTATTGTATTATATTGGTATCATTTTTTGTCCTAGTGCTTGCTGTCTCAACTATATAAACAGCCCAAGTCTACCATCCCCTGCCCCCCAACTCTAACTATAGAGAAGAAAGAGATGATGATGCTGAAGTTGAGATCAAAAAGGTTTTCCAGGAGCAACTCTAAGCTCAGCAGCGGCAGCGGCAATGGTGCCGGAGGGGATGGAAAAGGGTGTGGAGGTGGAGGTGGAGGTGGTGGTGTTGGTGAAATCAAATGGGAACAACGTCCTGGTGGGATGCTTGTTCAGAAGAGAGACAATAATGGAGAAGAAGAGCTGATCACATTAAGAATCTCATCTGTCTCTCAATGCCATGATATTACCATCCAACCAACTTCAACTTTTGGTATGTAAGCTCTCTCTCATACATATATATTGGTTTTTTTTTTTGATAATTGGGTGACTGGGTCACTTTATGTGTACCTTGACTAACTAATCACAGAATTTTAAAATTAATGACGGGGTAAACCTCCAGTAATCTTAAGATTTGAGATGTTTAGACTTCGTTGGATTTGAATCTATAACCTCTTGGATAATAAGTTCTTTGGTTATCTTCTCCTCTCGCTAAGTCAAACTCCTTGAAATTCATACATATATAGTTAAAAGCACTGCCCTTTGTAGCCCTAATTTTTGTTCATATATCAACGATGGTATAGACACGATGCGTGTATAAAACAAGTAATAGGGAGATAGGTGGTTTAGGGAGTGGGAAATCGAATTGGTTAAAATTAATGACGGAGTAAACCTCCAGTGATCTCAAGATTTGAGATGTTTTGACTTCGTTGGATTTGAATCTATAACCTCTTGAGTAGTAAGTTCTTTGGTTATCTTCTCCTCCCGTTAAGTCAAACTCCTTGAAATTCATACATATATAGTTAAAAGCACTGCCCTTTGTAGCCCTAATTTTTGTTCATATATCAACGATCGTATAGACACGATGCGTGTATAAAACAAGTAATAGGGAGATAGGTGGTTTAGGGAGTGGGAAATCGAATTGGTTTGCGGTGTGTTTTTTTTTTTTTATATTTTTGCCTAAACCATCACTACAAACGGAAGTAGTTTAAACAATTGTAAAAAAAAAAAAGCAAAGCAGTGCGGATGATTGACAGCTAACTACTATTATTAATGATATTGTTTATTATGCTAGTTGTTTGGATTACCTATGTATTAGTAAAGTAGGAAGAATTGTAATTCAATCAGCACATGTTCTGGCAATTGATGTAATTAAGTTAAAGTAATGCTATCTTTTGTTATCGTTCTAAAAAAGAAAAAAAAAGACACAATTGTAAACAAATAGTGATTTATAAATAGAATTTATATATAAAATGGTATAATTATATTGAAACTTATTATTTCAATGTAGGGTGTCCATTTAAATGATATTTTAATTATAAAAATATCATTTTCATATTATTCTAGTAATAAATTTTATTTATTTATTTTTTGCATGAATAGCATTTTCCATAATTAAAGAGTAAAATGTTTTTAATTGGATAATTATAGTTTAAGAATTGAAAGTACTTTCATTTTTATGTTAACATTAACTGAAGTGTTGACTTTATAATGTAATAATGGGGTGTTTTGGGAAGTTGGTAAAAAGCTGGCTTTTGACTTTTTACCAAGTTTTTTGACTTTTTTGGAAGTGATTTAGGAAGTTAGTAAAAAGTTGGCTTTTTTGATTTTTGGTTTAATATTTATTTATGGCATCAAATCAAAATAAAATGACCAACATACCCTTGCCAAACTTTGGAATTTTAAGTTATTTGTTAACATGGAGGGTATTTAGGTAATTTCATAACGTAGCTTTTTTGTCATTTCCTAAATGCAAGTCCCGGCGTTTTCGGCTGCTGGTGTTTTTCTTCACAAGCCAAAAACGTGGCGTTTTTGGTGTCTTTCTAAAATGGCACAATATAGATGATGGCACATCAAAAAGTTTCAAGCTTTCAAACAATATTCCTTATAGTGGGATTAATAATTAACTTCTTTTTATTAATTAATTAATTTTTTTTTTTGCTTCTTGCAGGAGAATTGAAGATGATATTGTCATTGGTGACTTGTATGGAGCCAAGAGAACAAAGGCTATTGTTCAAAGGAAAGGAGAGAGAAGATAGTGAACACTTGCATATGGTTGGGATTAGAGACAAGGACAAGGTGTTGTTGTTGGAGGATCCAGCCATCAAGGAGAGAAAACTCATGGAATTGGCAAGAACAAGAGGTCAAGCCATTGGGACTCCTTATCACACCATTAGTGTCTAACTCTAAATTTAACATATTGTTCTCTACTAACCACAATTAAAAATAGATAAATTTTTTTTTTTTATGCGGTGATGTTTTTTTTTTTTTCTTATGAGTTTTGGCATTTTGTGATCTATATATAATACACTAATGTTAAAAATACACGGATCGCAAAAAGTGTAAGGAAAGACTAAAAGATTTATTCTAAATGTGAACTCATTCATAACTATAACTTTTTTTAGATATTATAACTGGATGTAATCATAGTCTTTCATTGTATTGTTTTGTAAATCATTCTGTAATCCATTCTATACTTTTCACATTACTCTAAAGAATAAAGTACAAGTCTTAAAATCTTCTATTTTATTTTATTTTTACTTCTTCTTTTTGTCCTAATCACTCATAGTCATTTAATCATATTTTGAGGTTTTCATATTTTAAAATTATTAAATGATCTAACAATTATAAATGAATTAGAGAATCCCTAGACAGAGTGCTACAATGATCTATATATAAATGCAGGAGAGGAAATCTTTTATGACTAAAATTTTTGTAAGTCATTCTGTTGGGATGGAATTGTTTGCTGAGAAATAATAAGAAATGATGAAAAATTTTCATGTTTGGTTTGTAAGTTAGGTGAGAAAGGGTGAGAAATAAAATTCTCGCTATTTTATTTCTCACTAGAAATGGTGAGATTTGGTACGAAACAAATTGATTAGTTGTAAAATATTTATAATACAAATATTGCTCCTTAAAATAAAATCTCACTCACTCTCTCACATAATTTGTTTTCTTACTCATCCAAATATGATAGGGAGAAAACAAAATTATTTCATTTCTTTTCTATTCATGCTTAGTTGAAATATCATAATCATTTATTTTCTTTTTTCATCCTACGATCCAAATGGAGCGTGAAGTTGTGAGAATATTGAGATATGATCCAATGATTACAAATGATTTAAAACTAGATATAATATAATCTCAAATTGATCAGCCTTCATTTGTGATGAACTAATTTAGTTTGATTTTTTGATTTTTTTGCTATTTTAGTCTAATTGAAAAAGTTGAGTTTGTGATAAATTTTGACTTTTTTTGTAGTTAATTTGATGATTGTGCTGTGAGAGAATAAGTGAAATAATTATAATTTGAATATAATATTTTATTTTATTAACTAAATTAATCGATTTTATATTTATTGACAATTTAGTCAAAATAACTAATGCCAAACAAGACAGCCTTGCACAATAATTTTCAAAATTATGTTTAAAACGTCCGTATCATTTGAAATCAGAACTAATTAGATGACATACTCTACGACTTTATGGTTGGAACTAAGGTGACTAAATTAACAACTTATCTACTACAAGTACGAATGGCAACGGGTCGGGGTGGAGTCAGGGATTATATTCTCTGTTTTTGATTTTTGAGAGTATAAAATTTCTTGTTCCTGCCACCGATCCGTGGTGGGGAACCCATCACTCCCCCGCCCCCTAACGGGATCGGGTTTCCCAGATCCCGAAAAATCTCCTAACCCCTCCCCTTTTTTTTTTGAATTTTGCATATTTCATTTTATTTTTATTTTTTTTGAGGCAAATAAAAAAAATGGTTGCGTTTGGTAGAGCTTTGAGAGTATGAGTTGTATTTTGAGTTTGTAAGTTTTGGAATTATGATTTGAATGTGAAAATTTTGTTTGGTAAAAGAGTTTTGAATTGAGTAAGGAATTTTTGATGTGACATATAATATTTGATACAAAAATTTACAATTCATAACCAAACATACAAATCAAAATTCTATTAAAGCACATAAAAAATTTTAAAAAATTCGAAAAATATTTGTTTTGAATATATAAAAATTAACATGTGAATTTCAAAAAAATAAAAAATAAAAAATGTCACTGTTCTGGTCAACCGGTGGGACGTCTGGTAGGACATCCGGTGCGACGACCGGTTAGACCAAATTTGAAAAAACAAAAAAATTTGAAAAACACGTCCCAGATAGAATTTTCAGCAGAGTTGTGGAAATGTGATTTGAGAACTCCAACCAAACATCATATTGGAATATAGGCGTAGAATCATTGTTTGGAAACATAACCAAACACAGCCAATATATAGCATAATGCAGCAATGTCTAAACATAAGCTTCCAAACAACAACAACATAACAAACAAGATACAAAACAATACTCAAGCCACAAAAAAAAAAAAAAAATCCAAACATTATCTATTTTTTTGCTTTAAAAAAAAAAACACCACTTGTGAATTTTGCAAAGTAGCATACACAATCAACATTATTAGCTAAGTTAATTTCTAATATCAATAGGCATCTCTTAAAGAGTCAAAAAAAATCTTACAATGAGTCAAAAATTCCTAGAGAAACACACACATATATATATATAGAGAGAAGTATAATAGTAATTTCGAGCGAAAACGAGATGGGGGGGCCGGGGCTGGGGAACCTATCACCGTCCCTGACCCGAAAATTGTCAGGAATTCATTTTTGAATACCATTCCCGACCTGTCAGAGGTATTTTTCAAAAAAAAAATCCTTCTAATCGAAATTGGAGAGCCGGGTCCAGTCGAGTCGGTTCAAATTGTCATTCCTGCGTAGAAGGGTGGGGAACAAGTACTAGTCAAACACATTTATTATAAATAGCAACATTATTAGGAACAAGAAATCTCTAAATTAGTAGTTGTTGGAAGGAGCAAATACCAGCTCGACACATGTCAGAGACCCTTTCAAGGTAATGTTTTTAACGACTTGTTAGCAAAATGAAAGCTGAGAAAACGACCTGTGATTACATAAAGCAGTAATAATGTGTTGTTTATCTCAAAGAAAAATATGAAGAAGAAATAGAATAATATTAGAGATATATATACATCAATTAAACCACTTGTGTGTGTGGCTTGAATGACTAGACTTCCTTTCCTATAGCTCCTCCCACCATCTCTCTCCTCGCAAGTCAAGAATGACCACACACTCTCTTGCCTTATAGCCTTTCAACAACACACAACTTTGCTTTCTTTGAAGTTTCTGATCATCTATATATTGTGATATTTTCAACCCAAACAAAGAGAGAGAAATAGAGAAATTGAGAGAGCGAGAGAGAGAGAGAGAGCTCTCTCTATGCTTTCATTTTCCTTTGGTCCTCCAACAACTCAAGTAAATTCTTCACTATCCATTTGAAGATTCAGTCTAACTTTTACCTTCGCCTCTCTCTATTTTTTGCCATTATATTTTAATATTTTCTTAAACAGTGATTTATCAACGATAAAACTTATTGTTAGCAGTTGGCAGCTGTGATAGTGTGAGTTGAGTCACATAAATTCTCTCTCTAAAAATAAGGTAAATTGCGTACATCTTCCCTTTCAGAGTTTCTATTTTAACAGAAATCTTATCCACTATATTTTCTTCTATATCTTAATATCCTTAATTTGATATATATTTCCATTTAATATTTCAAACACACACACACTCTCTCTCTCTCTCACAATATATGTATATATATATTTTTAATAGATAGTAATCTCCATGAGACTCCCATCATTTGGCTACTTTTCCATCTTTCAGCTCTCTATAATAGTTCTTATATTTTAAAATTTTTGGTTTGGATTTTATTGTTTGCAGGGAGGTAGACAAGTTCAAAAATGGGTTTTGATGCAAGGTGATGAAGTAAATGATAGGTTATTGTTGACAGAAGATAGAGAGCACAACTGAATATGCCCATAAAGGCGTGTGTATGAGCAGTCTTGTGCTCTCTCTTCTTCTGTTAACAAACAAACTTGTTGATGCTATAAGACCATCAAAATCATCTTATGAAGTTTCAACCATATCATTAAGAGGTAAGTATGTATGATACAGTTCTTGATACAAGTTTTGATCTTATTCTTTGCCAGGTTTGAATATCCATATATTGTTATTAACAGTGAAAGGAATGTTTTTGGATCTTTCCTTCAGATTTTCAGAGGAAAAAAGTTGCAGCCGGAAGTATATGATTCATATGTTCTGTTTGTTCAAACATCATATTTTACATTAATTTTTAATTTTTCAAAATGATATGATAGTCATATTTTTACTTTTTAAAATTTTATATCTTTTAATAAATATTATTTTATATTAACATATGTATATGTCAATAAAAAGGTGTGCTATATAGTTTAGTTTGGCTTCGTATGGTTTTTTTTTTTCTTCTCCTCATTTGGAAAAGATATCCTCACATCATGGAAAAGACATTATCTGAAGCGAAAATATCTCCGCAAGGCTACTGTGAAAATATCAACAAAAGTGTTTTGTTTTAAAATTAAAAATGATATATAATGGTCCTCACCTTTTTTGTCTAATATTAATCTGATTATGATAAATCAAATTAAAAGATATTCAAAATTTAGTATCTAAATTTAATTACTGTAAACATTATGTAACTTTGTTGGACCTAGTTTGTATTTTTTTTTTTTCCCTTTAAAAATGATGCTTTAAGGTGTCATCACGGTATCCGTGGATCCAGGTTCCGAGATAACCGGTTATTGGCCTGATTTGATCTAATACATAGGAAGGGACCCACTACCACCGAAGTACTAGCGGAGCTCAACCATACACCACAGACGAACTTAGATTTCGATCGAAATACAGGACGAGATCTCTGAAGAGAGCTAGCTGCAAAGCAACCATTTTTTGCCCCTCTCAGGATTCGAATCTGGGTCATGTCTGTGGCCAGTGCCACCACCCCATGACCTAGTTTGTATTTGAATGAAAGTATATGCGTACTTTTATGAATAATGCTATATGTATTAATTAATGTACTAACTAATATAGTAACAAATGATGTGATATAATTTTAAAAGTTTTAGGTATGAATAATGCTATATGCACTGAGAGGGAAAAATATGGTCTGGATTGGGCAATGGTAATACCAGGCAAATTGTGGGCCGAACACATTTGGGCCGTGGTATCCCAGGTCCACCCAGAAGTGATTTTTGCTCGGCAATGTCAAGGGCATATGGAACCGAGCTACTTCACCTTGTCGGCACGGAGGCCGGTCAAGTGAGGGTGCGCGGTTGGAAAGCACGCATCCATAGCTCGGCGTAAAGGCTCATGCCTGAAGCTCGGCAGGAAGAACTTTGGTTGACCGATATGACTAATCTCAAGCTTGGCTTCGCCGGAACGCAGTAGAGCATGGCTGGAAAGGAGCTCGGTCGTGGAGGGGCACCTGGGCATGAATCGCAGCATGGCCGTTGACAGTCGAGATGTTGAAACCCGGCTGCCGAGCTCCCAGAAGAGTGGGCTGGCAGTCGGGTTAGGTGATGTTCAGCAAGACTTGTGCTGACAGATAGGGTAGCAGAACCACATGTCGAGAGATCACTGGGAGTAGATTTGGGACACAGAAGGTATATAAGCAAGTCTGCGCCCTCCATGCTGGACACACGAACATTTGGTAAGAGAAATACTTACACTCGACTCTCTCCTCACTCTCTCTACCCTCAGGTGTGTGCTAACTTGATCGTCGGAGGGGTTTTCCGGCCACACACCGCCGGGTAGCTCACTGCTGATTGTGCACGCAGGTGATCGGATAGAAACGAAGTTTGGAAGAAAGGAGTGCGGGCTTGCCTGAATATTTGCTCCCCGCACAATTGGCGCCATCTGTGGGAATTTTGCAGACAAAACCTTGTCTTCGAGGCTCGTTTGATCACCGTCCATGGCGAACAATGAAGAGATTCCGCTGTCCGCCGTCGACGGAGTTACCCTAGAGTCGGGCAGAGGGAGAGAAGGGCATCCCACCATCGTTCCTCCGATGGCGGACCTGGAGACTTCTTTAGGAGGACATTCAAGAGACGCGCGGGATAAGCGCGGAAGAAGTTATGGTCATTCACGGAGTCCAGATGGTCATCGTCGGCAGAGAGAATCACATGCCAAACGTTTGGAACACAAGTTAAGGGACCAGGACGCCGTCATTCGGCGAATGACAGCAGAGATGGAGGAGCTGAAGCGGCATGTTAAAGGGAAGGGTGTAGCTGGAGTGGGAGACCACAGTGAGTGCACCCAATCCCGTCGTTCAGGCAGTCAGAGTCAACGACACACTGCGTCCATTTCCATCACCAGAAGTTGCAAGGTTGGAGATTCCGACCTGTACGAAAAGAAGTCCCGCGCGCAAGATAGTACCTACCGACCCTCACGTCCGACGACGACATCGAGGTATTCTTATTCTGCTCATTCAGAGGATTTGCGGGCAGTCTTGAAGGAACGGGCTAGCCGGCGGGAAGCTCAGAGGGTGCCGGCTTTCCAACGGTTATCCTATGGGGTTCACGCCAGTGAAGAGGTCGGAATGCCTCCACCCCGCCTGGCTGCGCCTCTCCTTTTAGACACAGACTTGGCGAGGCTTAGCGCCACTCATTTCTTCTTGGAGATAGAAACAACACCGCTTCCAGCAGGGTTCCACCAGCTAAAGTTCACACTCTATGACGGAAAAACCGATCCTTATATGCATGTAAGCCACTTCTGGCAGGTCATGGCCGGACACAGGCGAAATGACGCCCTTATGTGCCTAATCTTCCCGTTAAGCTTGGGCGAGCTGGGCTTAAAATGGTTCGAGAGGTTGCCGGAGGAAAGCATTGAAAGGTGGCATCAGTTAGCCGAAGCCTTTGTGATGCGCTTCAAAACCAACACCAAAACACCAAAGGAAGTTGATCACCTCCTGAGTGTCAAGATGGAACCGAGCGACACATTGAAGGCATACAACTCTAGATATTGGGAGACCTTCAACGAGATCTTGGATTGCCCGGTCAACCTTGCAATCACACAATACAAGCTTGGTCTCCCGGTCGGACATAGACTGCGAGACTCGCTTACCATGCACCAGCCGACATCCATGGGCTAGCTAATGCAGCGCATTAATGAGCACATCCGAGTGGAGGATGATGCGTCAGCATCTACCGTGAAGGCAACTCCAGTAGCAACAGACAAGCGGTCAGCTGACAAAGTGCACGCGGTCGGGCAGGAGTCCGGCCGATCCAGCGACCGCGCTGAGGAATCGGACCGCGGCACTAATCGCAAAAATCGGGGTAGGGGACGTCGGAATGACCGGGATGACTACCCCCGGGATGACGTAGCCGATGCTAACAGAAGGTTGAAAGCAAGGACAGGCATCACCACGGTCTTTAAGATTCTAATCTATCGCATACTTAGTGAAATCCATGACGAGGAGTATGTCCGGTTTCCTGCTAAGTTAGGCGACGGACAGAAGGGCTTCAACCCGCAGTATCGTTGCACGTTTCACCGGGAGCGAGGCCATCGGACAGACGATTGTTTGCCTTTGAGGCAACACTTGGAAGAGCTAGTCGTAGCCGGACACTTGGACCTTTACATTGATGGCGGCGTGAAGGCCAATCAAGCTCCGGTTGACCCGCGGGGACCGGATGACTGAGATGCACCTCCCCAAGGGGTTATTAATGTTATCCACGGCATAGTGGAACTGGCACGTGTATGCGAGCTCCAAGGAATGATCAAGAAGGCAGAACACATGAGGGAAATTTTGTCGGTTCAGCCTGCGATCAAAAGGAGGAAGACCGAAGAGAAAGACGTGATCAGTTCTCCTCAAGAGACCTAGAACGCATTCAGACGCCGCACAACGATGCCCTAATGGTAACACTCCGCGTCAAAGAATTTGGTGTCAAACGGATCTTGATCGATCAGGGAAGCACGGTCGAGATCATGTACTACGACGCTTTCAAACAGCTCTAGCTTCGGGATACAGATTTGGCCCCGGCAACTTCGCCATTAGTTGGTTTCAACTCATAACCGGAGTGGCCTTTGGAAAAAGTTATCCTGCCGGTCAAAGCAAGATCCGTGGTCAAACAGGTGGAGTTCTGGGTGTTGCAGGTGCCATCCACTTACAATTTGATCCATGGAAGGGGATGACTTCACGCTATACAAGCCGTAGCGTCAACCTACCACCAGGTGATGAGATTCCCCTCGGTTATGGGGACAATTGAGGAGGTTTGGGGCGATCAAGTCATGTCGAAGCAATGCTTCGTGGCAGTCAACGGGAGCTGAGCTGCCAAAGGCTTCGTTCAAATGATTGAGGGATCGGGAGACCGGGGAGTACTTGACGATGTGGGCACCAAGGCCGAGGACAAAGCTGTCGAGGAATTGGTGGAAGTGCGCATCGATACAGAGCATCCGGACAGGTTTTTCTTGCTCGGCTCAAGCCTTACAGCCCAAGACAGGACCGACATGGTTGAGTTTTTGATGGCCAACATCAAAGTCTTCGCATGGTCACCTTCCGACATGCCCGGTCTCGATCCGAGTTTTATATGCCATCATCTCAATGTCTTCCCCGGCGCCAAGCCGGTCATTCAGCGAACAAGGAGATCGGCGCTGCATCACGCCGAGGTAGTTGCGGAGGAAATGAAGAACCTGCTTGAGGCGCGAGCAATTCAGGAAGTGCATTACCCTCGGTGGATTTCAAACAAAGTCGTGGTGCCCAAGAAGAATGGGAAGTGGCGAGTTTACGTTGACTACAAGACCGTCAACTGAGCTTGTCCGAAAGACAGCTTCCCTGTGCCTAGAATAGACCAGCTTGTGGACTTAACGGCTGGACATAACAGGTTCAGTTTCTTGGACGCCTACCGCGGCTACCATCAGATTGCAATGCATAGGCCCGATCGAGAGATCACTTCGTTTACTACACCAAGGGGACTATTCTGCTACTGAGTCATGCCTTTTGGTTTGAAGAACACCGGGGCAACTTTTCAAAGGATGGTGACCAAAATGTTCGCTCCTTTGCTAGGCCGGACAATGGAGGCTTATATTGATGATATGGTGGTTAAGAGCCGGCATCAAGTAGACCATTTGTCCAATTTGGCCGAAATGTTCGCCATTCTCAAAAAGCACAAGCTACGCCTAAATGTGTCTAAGTGTGCCTTTGGCGTGGGATCCAAATTTTTTTTGGGTTTCCTAGTCACGAACCGAGGTATCGAAGCAGACCCTACACAAATCCGAGTTGTGCAAGAGCTAAAACAGCCTAGCTCGGCTAAGGATGTGCAGCATCTGGCCGGAATGGCCGCCGCGCTTAACCGATTTATAAGCCGGTCATCAGATCGCTGCCGCACTTTTTTTCAAGCCTTGAAATCAAAGTTCTCATGGGATGAAGAGTGTGACCGAGCTTTGGCCGAGCTCAAGGAGTATTTGTCTTTCGCGCCGTTGTTGGTCACACCGAAACCCGGAGAAGAACTTTACCTTTATCTGGCCGTATCGTAGCATGCAGTCAGTGCAGTGCTTGTCTGGTCGAAAGGAATCAAACATCTACCCATCTTCTACGTCAGTAAAACCTTGCTACCGGCAGAGTCGAGGTACTTGCCGCTGGAAAAACTTGTGTTAGCGTTGATGATGACTTCAAGGAAGTTGGCACACTATTTCCATGCCCATACCATCATCGTCTTGACCGAGTTCCCTTTCAAAGCTTTGTTTGAACGGGCAGACTTCTCCGGTCGGATTCTTAAGTGGGCGGTCGAATTGGGACAGTTTGATGTGAAGTTCCAGCCGCGCACAGCCATAAAAGCCCAGACTCTGGCCGATTTCGTTGCTGAATTCTTACCTGGAATTCATCCGGTATGCCCGGTCGATATTGTCGTGGCAGATGAAGAGGTGAATGCAAGCTCGACTGAAATTCCATAGCTTGGCAGCATTGACGACGCAGAACTTGCGCGCCCCACCGAAGCCCCTTCAGTTAATACGATACTACAACCCGGTGATGCGATGACGGAGTTGGCTATCACTGACCAACCCGCTTTGTCCGATACCATATCACCGAGGAGGGGAGAAATGGAACCGCTCAGCACAGAGCCTGCGGCCGTCATAATACCGCAACCTGGCGATTCGCCACGAACTTAGGCCATTATGGATCAACTTGCTGAGTCCAGCGCCGAATCACCAAAGGGGGCTGACGTGGAACCACTCAGCACGG